GAGCTCTTTCAAAGAGTATTTGGGAACTTGTTTTCACATGAAAGATCTCGGAAAATTAAAAAAATTCTCGGTTTGGAAGTGGCTCAAAACGATGAAGGCATTTTCCTGTCACAGTGCAAATGTGCATTGGAGATTTTCAAAGATACAGGTATGCTTGGGTCCAAACCCGTTTATTTTCCGATGGAGCAACAACATGGTCTAGCCAACGACAAGAGTCCATTTTTGGTCAACCCAATTCGCTATAGAAGTCTTGTTGGGCGACTTATTTATCTCCTGATCACGAGACCAGATCTCTCATACTCGGTTCATAATCTTTCACAATTTATACATGCACCACGAGAGGCTCATTGGGAAGCTGCTCTGCGCATTGTTCGTTTTCTTAAGTGTACTGCTGGGTAGGGGATTATGTTTCGCTCAGACACGATCTTGACTCTCACTGCATATTGTAATTCTGATTGGAACGCATGCCCTTTGTTAAGATGTTCATTGAGTGGATATGTAACTTTCCTTGGTGGTTCTCCTATATCTTGGAAATCTAAAAAGCAGGACAAGGTTTCTCGTTCTTCGGTCGAATATCGTGCCATGCGACACACCTTGGATGAGATATTATGGCTTCTACAACTGCTCAAAGAACTTGGGTTTCCTCAAGCACATCTCGTTCGTCTCTTCTGCGATAGTCAGGCAGCCATATACATAGCAGCCAACCCCGTAGTCCATGAAAGAATGAAACACGTTGAATCTGATTGTCATGCGGTTAGAGATGCAGTCCTTGATGGTACAATTGCAACAAGTCACGTTCGCATTCATGAACAGCTGGCTGATCTTCTAACAAAGGCTTTAGGGAGACAACAATTTGAGTTTTTAGTGTTCAAGTTGAGCATTCTCAATCTTCATGCTCCAACTTGAGGGGGAGTATTGGGCTATGTTAGTAAAGTCCGATAGGGTTTACGGTTAAACCATCATACGGAATATATATATATACCTTGTGTACAAGTTTGAGATCAAGAGGAAAGCATATTCAGTTTATTTACACCTTTCTTCTTTGTCATTTGTTTCTTCATCCACCACAAGCTAGAAATCTATAATTATGAGTCGCAATAAATATGTATATAATTTTTTAATTAATAAGTTGAATAATTATTTAATATAAAAATGTTTTAACAGTTAGTGAAACCAAATTTACGGAATATCAAACCATCGACATTATTCAAGCTTCGCTGGCACATAGATTAGAGGACAAAACTTGGGTTCACCCCCTGTAGTGAATTGTATAATTTACCTCATATTTTGTGACTAATCAATCTGCCATGTAGGATTAGTAAAAAGAGGGGTGCTAAAAAAAAAAGCTTAAAAAACAGAAGCTAACGCCTTCCATTGACGGCTTCTTCTTCTTCATCTCACAGAGAAAATAGGAATACAAGTGTTTATACTGTCGTGATGGGGCTTTCCCGATTGTTGATGGTGAGATTGGATTACACCAATCGTTGTTTGCATTTATTTGCACTTCTCTTGTTTCATGGTGAATACAAACAATTATCAGTTGTTTCCATGGTGATTTCACCACTGCAATATTTTCTCTGGCTATGGTCAAATCCAGCGTCGTGTTTGTCTCCCTTTGGGAGTGTTCTGTTCCGGGACATCCAAGTTGCTTTGCGCGTTTCCTTTGTGTCGGCTTTGTTCTGTCGGCCTGTGTCGATGGTTTTATGTCTCATCTGGATTTCTTAGGCGGAGTTTCATGGTTTCCAGTTTCTCAATTGGTATTTTCATCCGTCCTGACCGGATGATATCAAGCGGCGTGTGTTTCTGGTGAAGCAGAGAACGGGTGTTTCTCAGAGGGATGGAATTGTTTACTATTGGTTGCTGGTTTATGGAGTATACATGTGTTTCTTATTAATCTCGTCTATGTGTGTTGGTGACAACACAACAGCTGAATTGAAGAGTAAAACCAATTGGTTTATACTGAAGTTTAGAAATCGGCAAATAAAGTTCAATAAAGCTCACACTACAATGCATACTCCTTATGTAAAATTGGTGATAAGCTTCTTTGTTTGTCGATATCAATGTGAAAGAAAAAATACGACATGGATATTTGATGATAAGCTTCTCTCCAAACAAATGCTAATTTTGTGAGAGGTCAGCCTAATCTCTTAAAGAAGATGCAGAATGAGACTTGCATTGCAAGGTTTAAGAAAAGAAGAAGAGCAGTCCGAGCTAAAACCTAATTAGAGGAAATGTGCCCAAATGGTACGGCAAGAAGAAGCATCGTGCATTATGGGTATCTATGTTCTCCAACCTTTAATTATATTAATTGGTCACTAAATATTTTACCCAAAGAGAGCAGGAAGATTAATAAAAATCAGAGTGATATGTTAGTTCATGTTCAAGTGGATTCAAGACAGAAAAAGTAAGTAGCCACTCTCTATTACAAAAAAAATAAGTTGCCACTCTCCAAGTGATATGTTAGTTCATCTCCAAGTGAATTCAATAAAAAAAAACCTATGTTCTTACTTTTAATTTAGGGTGGGCACAAGCCAAGTACTTGCCATTTTTGGCGTACTTGGTACTTGGTTTGACTTGTTCGAGTAATAAAATTTTAGACTTGTACTTGGTTTATTAAAAACGAGTACTTGCATTTACAAGTACTTGCTAAAAATGATATACTTGCAAGTACTTGCATGTTTTACTACTTGTTGCTTCTGAACTAATTTATAAATGATTCTATAATTATTTGTAAATTATTTAATAATGGTTTATTATTTTTGCTACTTAAACCTTGTATATGAATTCTAAAACAACTTAGTTAGTTACAATTATAATCTAAACAATTTTTAATAAAGAATATTTATTTATGTTTTATATGTTTTAAATCGATATATGATAAATATAAAATTGAAAGAAAACTCTAAAATATTTCTATAATATATCACTTTTAATTTCATTTAATTTATAAACAAGTACTTTGATTATAATTTAGAGATTTTTTGTCTAAGAATAAAAACGGATAATAAATCAAGTAATAAGTCATGAGTAACAAGCCAACAACGCCAAGTAGTTACTTTTATTTTAGTATTTGGTACTTGTCTTGTACTTGCAAGTAATTGAAATAAATGACTTGATACTTGACTTGAACAAAACGAGTACTCGATTTTAAGAGCCAAGTACGAAACAAGTAGCGAGTACAAGCCGAGTAGCAAGTAATTGTGCCCACCCCTACTTTTAATATCTCATTCTCTCATGTTTTTCTTTTTCTGTTGAAACTTAATATGTCTATGTTCCAACAAACCTGCCAACGTTCCAATATCAACTTCTAGAGTTAATCTTTCTATTCTTCAGTTTATTTTGTTTTTCCATTGTTATTAGTTATTGCTAAAACAATTGTGGTTTCAATGGTGTGGCAATAATCATTGGTTTGCGATTTTTTTTGTCACCATCAAAATAAAGCAACAAAACATAGCATAACATAATTAACTCAATCTCTTCCTATTGCTATGTATTACACATAGACTTAATAATCAGAAGATCTAAACGAAGATCAAATATGATCATTCATAGACGTGATTAAAGAAGATCTAACAACTCAAAGCTTATAACTATATGATCAAGAGATGTATAACAAACAATAATTTGACTTGAAGTTAATTATGTTTCTCTAAGGAATTGATGTGATAATAGCTCCAACCTGTTAGTCACGCTAAGAATTATTTGGGAGTCCTTGCAGGGAAAAAGAAGAAATCGATGGATGAAGAAGAGATCAGATTTTGTTTCTTCTCAAAACTGTTAACGGCTGTGTAACAATCGTTAGCTAAGCCCTTTATCAAAAAAAAAAATCGTTAGTTCCTTTTCTTTCTAGGCTATTTTCTTTTTTTGTTTAAATTTTAATACTTTTCTTTTTACTAATCCTACATGGCATATTGATTCGTCACAAGAAGTGAGGTGAATTATATAATTCGCCACAGAGGATGAATCCAAGTTTTGTGCCAATAAATATGGAGTTTTCGAAAGAAAATTGTAATTTCAAAAGTTTAGAATAGTAAAATTAACTCAATTAACGATAGACATAAAGTCGCTACTGAGAGCATCTTAAAAAGACTTTTTATTTTGAAGTTTTTAAAATTCTATATTTGAAGTTTCAACGTGTTCTTCTCCAAAAGCAAAATTTCAAATCTAATTTCAAAATTATTTGTATTTTACATTATGCTTCTTATATTTGTCATAGTTAACGTAAATTCATAAAACATATATAAATAGCAAACACACACACACACACACACACACACACACATATATATATATATATATATATATATAAAACAATATTAATTAAGAAATATTACACGATTAAATAAAATTATAAATACAAATGCATAATTAAATATTAACTAAAAGCACAATACCACATTCTTGTTGTCTAATTACAGTTGTTTTTGAATACTAAACTACAAACAAATATTTTAAATTTTATTAGAAAATTTTATTTAGTTTTATGTCTAAAACTTAAATTTATAAAAAAAATATTAATTTTAAATATTTATGAGATATAAAAATTTTAAGGATTAAAATGATAAACAAGAAATATTTATGAATTATAAATTTTATTTGTACTTGTAAGGACCAAAATACAATTAAAAAGATAAAAATTCAAATTTAGAGTTTGAATATTGGAACTTTAAATATGAAATTTCACTAAAAAAATTAAATTTAAAGTTTTGAATTTTCTTTTTGGAGAGTAAAATTTTTATATTTGAAGTTATAGAATTTTTGTTCGAGATGATGTGAGACTGAGAGAGTGAGAGTGGAATGTGACTGTTTATATTTAGCTTTATCTTCTTTACTTTTCTTTTAGAAAGCAAAGGCAAGACCTGCCAATCAACAAACACTTTAGTTACATAACTTTACCCATCACGACCAAAAGTTCCATCTAGTCACCCCACTACTTTGAAATCTCGTCTTATATTGCTGCAAATCATTGATAAAACCCATTAGGTCGATTCTAAACCTCCTCATAATTCACTAACTCCTTTTCTTCGAGAACAAAAATGTATGTGACGAGGGCATTGTCGCAGTTTAGAAAATATCAGAAGACACTATCGGAGGAGTCACCGGAGGGTCCGTTTTCCGGCGTTCTAGTTATCACAGACGAAGAAGCAGAAACAGATGACACGTTCTGTTTCGGGATGTGTAAGAGGACAAAGATCGAGAAGCTTCCGTTCCCTCAAGACAAGATCTTATCAGTTGTTCACACAGACAGTTCTGGAAACAGAGAGACTTCGGTTAAGAAGGTCTTGTTCATACCAGCTCTCGATCAACCATTGTCTTCAAACCGGTATTACGTTGTTCACGCTAGAGGCAGACACAAAGGGTAAGATACAAAAAAAAACGCAGTAAAATCCGAATCATTAAGATTTAAATTCAGATTCGAGTTGGTGCTCTACCGGTTTGGTGATAAAAAAAAAAAGATAAGAAAAAAATTAGGATTGAGCTTAGTGAACTCTTCTTCACTCTTTTTTTCAGGAAAGTTTGTGTGTGTTCTAAGGAGATAGAGAAAGGACTATGCTGTTTTCCAGATATCTTGCATGACAAGAAACCGAGACCTTTGGATCCAAGAAATATTTATCAGACAGTGAAGATCAACCGACATCATGACAAGACGTTCTTTGCAAAATCTGTTGCTCCAGACGGTACACCGCCTTCATTTCTCAAGAAGAAAGGATGGGAGCTGCGAACCTCGAGGAGCTTGCATCCGAGGAGACCTAGAGAAGCTCTAGGGCTAGACGATGAGCTAAGAGCCCGTCTCCCTGAATTCGAATTCTCAGTCTCAACAATTCGGTCCGGGAGTGTGATAGTAGGAGAATGGTATTGCCCATTTATGTTTGTGAAGGAGAATTGTAGTGTAAGTCATCAGATGAAGAAGTCAATGTTTTATAGGATAACACTATCCCAGTACTGGGAACGGATCTACCACTGCGAAAACAGTAGCTTGGATGAGGCCAACGACGAAAACAATGATGAAGATGAAGGATGGGTGAGGGTAGAAGCGAATATGGTGAGAGAAGCGAGCTATGTGAAGGGTATGGAGGCGGTCAAGGGAGATAAAGAAGGGCACGGAGGCTTTTATTGGTATAGACCGGTTCAAGGTTTGCGGGTACCGGGTGAGAGGAGGAGGAAGACGGGTCCGGGGTCTGCGGTGGGGCTGAGTTTCGTGGTGGTTGAAAGAATGAGAAGGGTAATGGAGGAAGGAGGATGGGTGGAAGGAGGGAGGAAAGTGGTAAGAGTGGAGAGAGATGAACAAATTGGTGTTTCTAGAAGAGATTTTAGGGATATGAATGGTAATAATGATAGAGAATGGAGGAGATTTGGGTGTTATGTGTTGGTGGAGAGCTTTGGGTTGAGAAGAGCAGATGGAGTTTTGTTGGTCAAATGTTTATTTAGGCATACTCAAAGACTTCGATGTAAGTGGGAGTGAGCCTTCAATATGTTGTAAAATATAAAGAGACTAGTGGTTGGCCCGCAGTAGGGGGGGGGGAGGGGGAGATTTACATTAAATTATTGTATATTAAAATATATTTTAAATTTGTATAATATTTATTTTAAATCAAATTAAATAAATATAGTTTGTTTTCTAATTAGGTTATACTTATTTATTTTGTTAACATTTGACCTTTTTTTATAATTCTTACGTGTTTGGATTTTTATTCGTTATCAACAATATTTTATGACATTGTACTCTTTAATTTTAGTATTCATTTCAGTTATATTTTTAATGAAAGATACATGATCTTTTTTTCACTTACATGAGACTATATGTGTTGTATTTAATATTTTTTAATTGTGTGTTAAAGTTTTATGTTTGATTGTGGTATATCTGAATGTAATCTATCCGTGATTATGAATTTGTGTCTAACAATGTTTTTATTCAAAAATGTCCTTAACAAAATTAACATAATTTACTTTACTTAATATAGCGTGTTTTATCTTCTCGAGATTTTTTTTTGGTTTAATGTTAACCAGATTTTTATCAGAAGAAGGGAAAATACATTCTTGAAATTTTTTTTTTATATTTCACTTAATAACGAAAATAAATTTTGTCAGTTACTTATAGTAATAGCATGTGTCACACTCACATCGATTATTTATGTTGGATCAGTGACATATTATTGTTGCTCTAGTTGTCTTGTGCATGTATAATTGGTCAGATAGCATTCTAGTCAGGTGATCTCACTCCATGAATAGACCTTTTGCTTCGTTCCAGCATTTGTAGATGCGAGTTCGATGCGAGTTTTATTTGTTTTTCATTCAAATGTATCCAATATTTCAAGTATAGAGAGATAGACATAGAAAATGGAACATTGTGATTTATTTTTTCCTTTTTTTGCGTTTGTTATTAAGGTCGGATGTGTTGGTCAATTTTTAGGTCACATGTATGACGGCGGAGTTAGTGAGATGTATAGCGAATATTTGTTTGATATTTTCTGTTATGGTGGGAGTTTCATTTGTGACTGTGCTTTCTTGGCATATATTTTGAAAACGAAAATTAATAATGTGATTGAGTTACTAATCTTTTTTTCTATAACCGATGCAGTTGGATTTCTTTCATGTTAAAGGAGCAGTTATGTAGAAGTGTAATTATGAGCAAATCATGTTGCATAGAAGTTTATTGAGAAAATAGTTTTTTTAAGCCAAATAGGTTTGGACATTGTCCCTTTAAGTTAAATTCATTAACTTATTGTCCCATTAGGCTAAATATTTTCTAAATGGCAATAATGCCCTTAAATTCACTTAAAAATCGTTAAAAATTAAAAATCAAAATCTTGAAATCGGGGGAAAAAAAGACGAAGGAAACTGAATTTTGAAATCGAATTAAAAATTAAAAATAAAAATCTTGAAATCGAATTTTCCTCTATTTTTTAAAAAATCGAATTTTCCTTTTTTTTTAAAAAAAATTTAAAATTTAAAATAAAAATCTTGAAATCGAATTTTCCTCTTTTTTTTAAAATCAAATTTTCCTTTTTTTTTAAAACAAAATCGACTTTTCTTTTTTTTTTAAAAAAAATGGAGTTTTAAATATGGTAATAGAATATTTTCTAAGATATTCTTGCTATATTTTTAAAAATTAAAAATTAAAAAATAAAAATCTTGAAATCGAATTTTCCTCTCTCTTTTGTTTAAAATCGAATTTTCCTTTTCTTAAAAAAAAATCGAATTTTCC